GGGGTGGGTGGGAAAAGAAGGTGTCAGTGGAGAAGGTCCAAAATTTTTCATAGTGACAGAAGTCAGTAGTAGGGTAATTTCAAGTTCTGCATAGTCACATGAACTCTCCTTAAGAACCGAGCTGCCCATTCAGTGTTTACAAAGAGAAAGCAAATTTTGCTCCGGGAAGTCTACAAGCAGGGGATAAAAAGAAAAACCTCTCCCTTTGCTGGGCCCTAGCATCTGGTATTCAGAGATATGAGGTTCAAACATAGAGGTTAAGAACATAAGAGATGCCAATGTTGGATCAGGCCAAAGGCCCATCCAGTCCAACACTCTGTATCCCACAGTGGCCAGAAATACCAGTGCCATCAGGAGGTCCACCAGTGGGGCCAGGACATTAGAAGCCCTCCCACTGTTGACCCCCCCCCCAAGCACCAAGAAGACAGAGCATCACTTGCCCCAGAGTCCCTATCTATACCTTGTGGCTAATAGCCACTGATGGACCTCTGCTCCATATGCTTATCTAATTCCCTTTTGAAGCCGTCCATGCTTGTAGCTGCCACCACTTCCTGTGTTCAAATTAGATATTGTGCCTTATAGCTGTTGACAGTCCTATCCTTCAAGAATTTGTCTAACTTCTTTTTTTGAGGCTTCTAAATTGGGGGTTATCACTACAGCTTTTGACAGCAGACTCCTGAAGTTAATTACATGGCATTACGAAAAGTTATTTCCTTCTTTCAGCTCGTAACTCACCAGTGATCAACTTCATAGGGTAACCACAGAGTTCTACAGTGGAAAGATCTATATTAAGTTCCCACTTCCTTTCTTCACTGAGAAACCCCCTTGAACATTTGGAGTACCCTTTCCAGCACTATGTCAGGGCTCTTTTTGTAGAAAAAGCCCAGCAGGAACTCATGAGCATAACAGGCCACACCCAACAGCTGAAACTCATTAGCATATTAGGCCACCCCCCTGCCAGCACAGCTCATTAGCACATTAGGCCGCCCCCCCATGTTACCAGAAGTGTGCTCATCCAGCCACACCCACCTTTTGCTTCTTATTCTGTTTACCTTGTTTGTTGTCAAAACCCAGGGCCTTTTTTTGTAGCAGGAACTCCTTTGCATGTTAGGCCACACACCCCTAATGTAGCCAATCCTAATGAGTTTCTGCTTTTGGGTGTGGCCTATTATGCTAATGAGTTCCTGCTGGGTGTAGCCAACTTGGGAGCCAGCCGGAACTCCGTTCCTGTGCGTTCCTGCCCAAAAATAGCCCTGGCCTACTTTTCAGAGGCGTTCACTCATGGTCTTCTGGTTGCCTCCAGTTTGCCACTCTGAACTGTACTCCCAGCACACAAGCTCCTTCCTTTCATCTGAATCTTATTATTTCCCTTTATCCAAATATCTAATTATCATAGAGGTTTGTCTATACGAACTACAGAGGTTCCTAGGTATTCTTTGTCGGCATCTTGTTAATAAAAATTCTGCATTTTGGCATTCACAGTTGTTCATTTCCACAGATTTTTTAAAAACCCTAGAAATAGATTCACTCACTCAGATTTCTTTTAAAGAAAGAAGGAAACCTTAGCCACTTGGAATTCGAAAAAGACCTTCACTTTAGGCTTTGATTTATTGCTGGGGAGGAAAAGCAAGAACGAGTACCTGGCCATTTGATTGACCCAAGTTGTTTTGCACAACCAACAAGCCCTTTATTTGTATCTTTAATGTAATGCTTTATATAATTTGAGATGCTCCAGTCTACCACCTGCAAGCAATGTTCCCTCTAAGCTGAGTTAGTGTGAGCTGGCTCAGTTTTTTAGCCTCTAGCTCAGATTTTTGTCTTCGCCCAGGAAGGATGGCTCCAGCGCAAACCAATTTATGCAGTAGCCAAATCGCTCGCTTACAACTTTAATGCTGGTTCACAAAGCAGACGTTTTGCTCACAAGACTCCACCGCTTAGAGGGAACATTGCCTGCAAGTGAACTTTTGCTAATGGGTAGGGGGCCATGTCTCGTTTGACCCTGTGCCCCATAACAAGAAACACAGTCCTCCAATTAAGCCATCAAGATTTTACAGAGTGGAATCCACAGATGTCTAACCACTGGAGTCAACAGAGTAAGGGTTAGATTCCGGCCTCTTCTTTCTGCTCTTGGGGTCCAGGCCTGCCAGCAACAACCAGGTGACTTGCTACCACACAACTTGCATATCTGGATGCTTGCTACAGTTCAGCAGCCGCCACTCCACAAAAGCCAGTGTGGTGTAGTGGTTAGAGTTTCAGACCAGGATCTGGAAGACCCAGGTTGGAATCAACACCCTACTGTGGAAGCTCATTGGGTGACCTGGGCCAGTTCTACATTCTCAATCTAACCTACCTCACAAGGTTGTTGTGATGAAACGAAGGAAAGGAGAATGAGGCAAGCTGTTTTATGTCCCCATTATGGAGAGAGGCAGGCTATAAATGAAATAAATAACAAATAAGGCCGAAGGGGAGGGGAAAGGTAGGTTGGATGGTTGATGGGTGTGAAGGGAAGCAGGGAAAGGGAAGGACACTGGGGCTGCCAGGAGGAGGGAAAAAGAAAAATGAAGCAGGAAGGGTGATACAGGGGAAAGCAAGGTGCCCCCCACGAACCCTTGCAGGTTTCCCCACCATGCAACTGGGGCCAGCTCAGCAACTAGCACCACAAAACTAAAGCTGGCCCAGGCTGGTACAACAGAGCCATAGTTTTTCCTAGGTAAAAGTTTCAAGGGGAAAAGGAGGAGGGAAAGATGAAGACAAAGGTTTGCATAAATCTAGATCAGAGTCCAGTAGCATGCTAGAGACCAACAAGATTTTCAGGGTATAAGCTTTTGAGGGTCAAAACTCCTTTCGTCAGAGACATAAAGGGAGGTTGGCTGGTGGATGGGAAAGAGAAAAGGAAGCAGGAAAGGGGAAGAAGCTATGGGGGCTTTCAGGGAAGGGGAAGAGGAAATAGTGGGGGACAGGGAAATAAGATGTCCCCTGCAGATTTTTACAGGTCCCCTGCTTGTCAATATATCTAACTAGGAGTAAGGCCCGTTGTGGGAAGAAATACGACGAGTTCTAGAAGGAAGCTCCAGGTGAGTGTCCCGGCTGTGGCTGGTGGGGTGGCAGAGGGAAGGGGAAAATAGAGGGAGGTGAGCCATGTTTATTTCCTTCTGCTTAGCTATAAGGCAGGGCTGTCTCCAGTCATTTACCTCCCCGGGAGGTAAAACTTGCGGCGACCAGGGCTAGATCCTTTTCAGTGGCGGCCCCTACCTGGTGGAACGAGCTCCCGGAGGAGATCAGGGCCCTGCGGGACCTTATGCAGACGGAGCTCTTCCGCCAGGCTTTCACATAGGGGCCGCCGCTGCCACCACCACCAACAGTGGCTACGCCAACAGGATTTGGGATCGCCCTGGGAAGCTCAGCCTATCTTGTGTGATACTAACAACGCATGAACGATCTACTGGACAGTGGTATCTCAATGGGGCCAATCCGAAGATGCCATCATAACCACTCAGGACCATCTTGTTATTGAAGCACTTTATTATTGTTGTTATGTATTACTGTTATTAGGATTTTATTGTTTTATTGGATTTTATGCATGGGCTGTTGCCCCTTGTAAGCCGCCCTGAGCCCGCTTGCGGGGAGGGTGGGGTAAAAATGTCTAAATAAATAAAATAAATAAATAAATTTTGCTGCCCCAAGTGTGTAGTATGGGAGGAGAGCCTCATGGTGACAGGTATGGTTCCCTCCACCCCTGACTTATGTTAATTTGGGGTTATGCAGTGGCAGCTAAGGTAGAAAAGCACCTCCTCCTATGCCATATCTTCTGTGTTCCAAGGGTCTTGAAAGCTGTTCCATAGCCAGTTACAGGGCTGCCAACTCTGGGTCGGGAAATACCTGTAGATTTGAGGGGTAGAGCCTGGGGAGGGCAGGGTTTGGGGTGCGGAGGGACCTCAGCAGGGTATAATTCCACAGAGTCCGTTGTCCAAAGCAGCCATTTTCTCCAGGAGAACTGATCTTGGAGATCTCCAGGTGCTGCCTGGATGTTGGTGGCAATACGAAGGGGAGGGCCGCCAGACCTGTAGATTTGAGGGGAAGCCTGTTCCACTGAGGGACTGCTCTGTCAGGAAATTCTTCCTAATGTTTAGCTGAGTACAGAGACAGATCTTGGTTTGCCTCGGCCAGTCTATTTTTCTCTTGTTTTGCTACATCCTAAACAATGGTGCAAAGTTTGCAAAAGTGCATATGTTTACTGAAACACCCTGTTGGATTAAGTAGCTGGATAGGCCTTTGGGATAACCAGCCACAGACCACTACATCTGAGTTAGGACTTCCTCAAAAGCACTGAAGCTAAGCTTCCACACAGATGGCTGATTATGTTGTGCTGTCTTAATTGAAAACCGACAAATGTACTCGTACCGTCAAAAGTAAAACGGAAATCAGTCCCAAGCATGAACAAGGGGGAGGGGGGAGACGCTCCAAACGAGATTCATGGCAAAGATCAGAACCCCAGAGATACTCCACTTACAGGGCTATTTTTGGACAGGAACGCACAGGAACAGAGTTCCGGCTGGCTCCTGAGTTGGCCACGCCCAGCAGGAACTCATTAGCATAATAGGCTACACCTAATAGCAGAAACTTATTAGGACTGGCTTTATTAGGGTGTGTGTGGCCTAACATGCAAAGGAGTTCCTGCTACAAAAAAAAAGCCCAGGGTTTTGACAACAAAGTAAACAGAATAAGAAGCAAAAGGTGGGTGTGGCTGGACGACCACACTTCTGGCAACATGGGGGTGTGGCCTAATATGCTAATGAGCTATGATGTCAGGGGTGTGGCCTAACATGCTAATGTGTTTCTGCTGTTGGGTGTGGCCTATTATGCTAATGAGTTTCTGCTGGGCTTTTTCTACAAAAAAAGCCCTGCTCACTTACATTACCAGAAAAAAGTGAAATAAGATACAAACACTTGAGAATCTCTACAGATAAAGTCAACAAATGAACTGCACTGAAAGAGGCTGGGCAAAGTAATCACATTTATTGGCTCTCGTTTGATTGGATAATGCATGTTTTGAAACTGTAGAACTCCTCCTTCAGGGAGGCAGAATGCATTTTGTGAAGCATCCTCCTCAGAACATATCTCCATTCTATGATGTACGGGGGAAAGTGTAATTCCAAAAGTAGGAAATGCCCAAACTATTAGCCTGCCTGCTAGCTTCAATAGGACACGGTGACTCTTATAGATAGGTCCCTTGCATCATTACTGGTGTTGGTTAGCTCCGCCCCCTATAGATACTACTTCCAGATGCTCCAATGGATATCATTTCAATAAGCTATTTACAGCATAACGAGGCAACTGGCTCAGGTGATACATCTTTCGATACTCGAATATAACAAGCCAGAAAATTCTTTCCCCTTCTCTTCTTTTAATAAATCTCTTGCATTAAAATGGTACCAGCAAGATATTTACAAATGGTCTAAAAAAAATCCACACCAAAAAATGAAGACCAATGCTGGCTGCAGTTCTGCCAGGCTACTTAAAGGGAAGACAGCAGGTTGAGTTCATCAAAGTCCAAACCACCTAGGGACTCCTGATCGCTTGGGGTCATCTTGCTGCCTCTGTGCCTCATCCTTCATGAATTTCCTCTGGATGTCCTCAAGAGAACCAGGCTCAATGGCTTCTGGTCTCTCCGGAAACAAGTCTGGAAACTGGAAAGTTTGTCCTGCACCCTAAAGACAGAAGACAGAAAACAAATGTTTGATTACGTGTCCTATCAGTAGTTGCAACACTCTTCAGACAAGCCACAGTAAGTTTCAGCTGCTGCATATAGGGTTGCTAAGTCGAACTCACCAAAAAGCGGGGGGAGTCCTGTCCCTGGCCAGGAGTCTCCTCACGCATGCGCCGCAATGATGCCACCCGGAAGTGACATCATTGCATCGGGCACGTTGGGGGTGGGGCCACAATCATTCGAGGGAAAACCATAGAGTTTTCCCTTGAATGATAGAGTGTCCCCTGGTAACTTGCCCAACGAGATGACGTCACCTCCGGGTGGCGTCTTCACGTTGCAGACTTTGGGGGTGGGGTTCCCCCGGCAGCCTGATCCGGGCCGGCAGGGAACAGGCCTCTCGAGCGGGGGTTTCCCCGCCTCCCCGGGGGGACCTGCAACCCTAGCTACATAACTGTCAACTTCTAACAGACTGCCAGCAGTGTCTGTGCCTAATTTCTCACATGGTATGTACTATACAGAAGGCAGGCCCATACAGAAAATACTATCGCTTGTGAAATATGGCACAATACTTTGGTGTAAAAAACTGGGGGGAAAGGGGAGGGGGAGAAGGGAAAAACTCAACCCAAGATAACACTGCGAACCAGAAGGGTTAAGCTGACCATATATATTATAAAAATACAAAATTTATTAGGGTGTACACATATTAAAATATAAGGGTTAAATTTTTTTTTGAAGTATCAGACTAATAAAAGCATATCAATTATTAATACACATGATGGGTTAACACTTTCCAACTGAAGACCAAATGCGTTTCGGCCTCAAAGGGCCTTCCTCAGTGGTCACTATACAACATAGTATAGACACACATTCAAACACATTCTATTTTTATAATTTCAGGATACAACATCTGGTCTTTAAATAAGTATACATATGGTTGAATGTGTGTCTATACTATGTGTCTATACTATGTGTGTCTATACTATGTTGTATAGTGACCACAGAGGAAGGCCCTTTGCACAGCCTGCAGTTCAGCGTCTTAACCACTTGCGCCACTGCAGCTCCAAGTCAAAATAAAGGGAGCATTAAATGAAGCGCTAACAATGGCTATTCACTGCCTCAATGTCTGCTGCATAACTGAATGGGGAAACAATACACTAGGCAGAATTGCATCACGCCAGCCCAAGTGATCTATGAAATTAATGTCATTCCTGAAATACAGCATCAAATTTACATCGATCGTGTTCCATGATGAACGGAGTCAGTGCCAACACAGACCACTGCCACAGACTCAACGGCTCCCATTTGGTAAACAATCACCAGTTGACCTTTTAGCTTTTATTTAACAGCAAAATCTATTATTCTAGGACAGCATTCTATTCTGTTGACATTATCTCTTTATTTTTCCATATTGTTTGCAGCACTGACAACCTCATTAAAAATCAACCCTGTCTGCCTTCCATTCACTTCAAATATAATAAAACTATCAGACAATAACATGGCGTAGAGAGATGTTATAAAAATAATGTCTGGAGCTATTTTGAAACCATTTTCCAAAATACCTTCACAGCTTTAGCCCACCCCTAAAGAGCTTGGCATATAAAAAAAATTATAAAACTCCAAAGACATGAGCATTTTTGCTGCCGCTCTACAAATCAAATTTTCCTTTGCAAGCCGACCTGGGTTTTGCCAATGACACAAATACTTGCATCCACGGCATAGTTTGCACTTGACAGTGATCCTGTAGGATTGTTTCCAGAGTGCATTATTTAAGTAGAATATTTCTATGATGCCTTTGCAGAGTCCTGCTTGAAAGGACTTACAATTAAAAACCACAGTAAGAAAAACAAGCCATTAGACATAAGCAGGGATCATTCCCTGCAGGAGCGCACAGGAGCGGAGCTCCGGCAGTAAAGAGCCCAGGGGGTGAGCACATGCAACAAGCCCCGCCCCCTCTCCCAGCAGCCCTCAGTCAGAGCAAGAAGCAGCCAGGTAAGCTGCAGAGGCCCCCCCCCAGCCCAAAACAATTCAGTGACACCGTTAAGACCAATTTTTATTCAGGTACAAGCTCTCCCTCCTCTGCGAGGACAGATCTGCACATTCCCCCCCCCCCCAAA